AGCTCTGAATCCACCCTTATTATACTATTTTCAGCTCCACTACATTCGGCAGCAGTTTTTTTTAAATCTTGAATTTTATTATTATCTTCTTGCATAAGAGCTTGTGTTCTAAATTTTTGACATGTGCCAATACAATTGGTATTTGAAAGCATTCGACTCAACCACTTTTGTTTAACCATTCCAAACCATGAAGTAGCTGATAGTGGGGAAGTTTCGCTTGAGAGTGAAGGTTAAACATGAATGAATGCAAACATCCTCCCCTAGGCCTCATATCTGATGCCTCCACCATCACTTTTGCCATTCTTTTTCCTTATTTCACTACTCTGAGAAATTTGAGGAGCAAGTAAACTTTCCCTACTTAAAACTGCGACACGGGTGCAGTGGAAGTTTTGTTATTATCAGTTACACTTTACTAGAGAGAAAGTTACTTCTAAGAAAGTGCAATTAGTTGTACGAAACACTTACCCTGAGGATAGTCTGCTGCATAGACGATTGGAACGGCTTGACATGCTGAATAGCGGTGCGAATTAGTTCCTCTGTCCTCGGAAGTTGTGTGCCGTACCGTTTGCCGTTTAAACGTAAAGTCTCGGACGAAGAGAAACGCCAGTAGTCCAAAAACAAGAATGAATAGGGCAAAAATCACGATGGCTACGATGAACAGGTATTTTGCTTTTGCATGCCCCAAAAAAGCTGTTGAGTCTGATGCCACTTTGGAATGCACCGTTTTATTTAGTGACATAATCTGGTCCATGGCAAGTTGACTTTTTTTCGCACTTTCTGCATGGTGATTTAAGACATGTTTCGCTACTACATCCCTACCTTTATTTTGATTCGAATGTCTACTGATTATTGGAGGAGAATTTAATGAAGAATTGTCATTAATAAATAGCCTTATTCTCGCCGTCTTGCTAAATTGTTGAAACCCCATATCCATGACCGTCACATAGATCTGGTGTTCCGTCCGCATTCTGGTATGCTTCAAATCAATTCCTTGGAACATCTCAGTTAAAGGCTTTGCCACAATTAAACTCATGCATTTTTCAGTGTCTTCAACCTCTTCTACAGTTCCAATACGGAAGTATGGCCTCAGGTATTTCGCGCATCGTAGGGTGAAGTTCAGTTTGCCATTTTCCTTCAAATCATTATCTTTGGCACACACTCTCAGTATGGAAGAGTTGACAGTCACATCATGAGTGGTGTTTAACGTGGCAGGTCCAGCATGTGGACCTTGGGAAAGGGTGGCAGGTTCAGTAAATATGGGGCCATTATCATTTTGGTCGAGCAAACGAACAGTGACGCCAATTTCGGATGTCAGACGCTGATGAAAAGGTCCTGTATCCGATACGACCACAGTAAATTCATATTCATGTTGTTTCTCCCGATCCAACACACCATCTACATAAAGGTGACCCTTGCGGGTTATGCGAAAGTACGCAGGTGAATTACTACGCCAAAATGAACCCGGTGTATGTTTAATTGAAAACTCAAGGGTGCCATTTGCTCCACTGTCCTCATCTGTGGCATTCACTAGACCAAGAAAACGCTCGATTAGACGCTCCTGATCGAAGGACTCAGGAATTTCAAATATAATTCTTCCTGATTCATTCTTGTTTCCTTGAAACATTGGTGGGGAATCATTGACATCCAATACGGTAATATTTATATTAACTGAAGAACTAAGCCGTGGGTCACCTTCGTCCACGGCTTCAACTGTCACACAATGAACAGCCTTCTCCTCCCTGTCAAGCGAACGTAGCGTCGAGATTTTTCCTGTGCGCTCGTCGATGGTGAACGATAAGGTCGAGTTGTGGTGCTTGCAATTCTTAATGAAATACTTCAAGACAGCGTTCCTTCCAAAATCTATATCATTTGCGTAAATATAGCCCGCAACAGCGCCATCAGGTTCATTTTCTTGCACACCAATCCCTCCTCTATGTTGAAATTTTGGTGCATTGTCATTAATGTCCAACACTCCAATCTCAACCGTTTTACGAGCTATGTTGGCCTGCGGATGGCCACGATCGGCACATATTACGGTCACTTGTACTCTTGAAATTAGTTCACGATCTAACTTGATACCAACCCTTTTGAGGAGCACAAATACTGTGGGCACTTTGATAGCCGCATTGGATGTTTTCAAGGCGATAAGACTAAAAGGATTGGTACAAACCAGATTATTCCATTCTATGTCACAACTCACGGCTGCATTTTCTCCTGTATCATCATCGGAAACTGTTATAGTGGCGAGTTTGAATTCTCTCTCATCTTCTTCGGTGATCCAGATATCAGTGGGTTTATAAGAGCTCCAATCAGAAAGGTTCCCCTTAGGAAATGGACTTAGAGATGTAACAGTTATTTTAGGTGTGTTATCGTTACAATCCTCAAGAGTAACATCAATATTTGTTACGTTAGTTAAACCACCTCCATCTTTCGCCTCAACAGGTATGGAAAATTTGGGTGTGGTCTCATAATCTAACTGCCCTATAACGTATACCTTGTCTCCATGCACTACTACTTTGTAACTTGCTTGTACATCAGCCTTCCTTTGTGCGATTTTGAACGTTATTATTCCATTTTCTTTGCTATCTGCATCAACAGCGGCCAACTGAATAAGAAATCGAAACGGTGTGTCATATGCAAAGCCACTCAGGCGTAGAAAAGAACGTAATTCAGCACTTGTTTTCCACAACGATTGCTGATGTTGCTGGGCACATTCGGGCATGTGGACGTGGTATGGTAGACCAACCCATTGGGGACTATTGTCATTTACATCCTGAACCTCAATGATCACCAGCAGTCCACTTGTTAGTCCCTCTCCATCATAGGCATGAAGACAGTAGAAGAGATTTTGAAATTTCTCATAGTCAAGTCCACTAATTTGCATCAATTGGGGTAATTGTTCGTCTGTTACGGATAAAGCGAAAAATCCATCCTCATTGGGTGTATATGAGGGGCATGCTTGTGGGCTAGAGTCAGAGGGTATACGGCTGAGGTGGTAGCTACTAATTCCATTTTTCCCAAGGTCCGCATCCTGTGCAGGGGGCAGATAAAATAAACTTCCAATTGGGGAGGATTCCGATATTGATATAGTGAAAGAAGATGGTTCGAAAACCGGAGGATTGTCATTCATGTCGATAATTACTAGGTGAATTGTTTCTAGAAAGCTCTCTTCAGCTGTGGTTATATGAACCAAAAGAGCAACGTTACAGCTTGGACTTTCGAAATGATGCGAATCAAGGGTTGTGTTTGCCGTTCCATCGTTTTGGCAGATAGCCTCCCTATCAATCGTTTGAATGGCAAGAATGCTCCCGTTTGTGGGATGAATGAAAATGAATTCAGAAAGCGGCTTTTCTGCAAGACTTGTAAATGATTTTTGGTGCTGAACTACAAGTTGACCAAGCAAAGCGCCAGCTGGAGTGTTTTCCTTAATATTAAACTGATGCATACTGGGCATCTCACAGGAAATCAGTGGTATGAATAAGATTGTCCATGCGAATGCAAGCATCTTAACGCACTAGAAACCCTCCATCTAGTTAAATTTGACAAGAAATATGCTCTTTTGTGTCAATCCCAATAAGAGGAGACTTATGAATGTGGTCAGAACAACCAATCGGCCAATCAAAATGAACCAAATACCTGATTGGTTAAAAAAGCCAAGTGAGAAAATATGCTTGATTAATACTTCCATGAAGCCAATAAACATTTGTAAATAATCCCGTATGGTTAAGTTAAGGTGCATTAAATTCAAATGAAGAGTTGAAATTAATCGACACTTACAAATATGAATCTCATCTCGCACTCAGCTCTTGCATAACTGAAAAGTGGGGAACAATTGCAGGTAGGAAAAGGTAATTTCAGAAAATAAATAATACACATCATTAAGCGTAAATTAACGTGGCGAATGAAAGGGAAACGGTATTTGTCACATCATTTGCAGAACGCGCATAAAAGATTTTATGAAGGCTAACTATGATTTGATCGAAAAAATTTTGTTGTTTTTCGATTCAGCTAGAGCTTAATGCCATTTGAGAAAATTAACAAATGCGGCACCGTAATTTTTATATAAAAAGGTGACTGATTTCAGGTTTCTACCTTCCACCTCACTTTGCCTCAAGAGCTTAGCCCTTTCATTTGATGTCCTACTTGAGTTCCGCTGCAAGGAACTAGATGGCTACTTTTTGTTTAAACCACTATCCACATTTCTGGAAACACTTTTCCTGTTTGGTTACCAGATTTTAATAATGTGTGAGGAAAGGAGGGCAAACTACGTCGCACTTTGCTCAGAAGGAATCAGTTTGTGGTGTCGAGTCAGTTAGCGTGAAGTAAGCAACATCGACCTATAGAACTCTTAGTATGCTCATAAATTCCACACCTTGAAGCTTTCGGGACTGGTGTTTCGTTAGGTCACTGATCCCCTCAGCAACAGTGCTGTCCACTTT